TAGCAGGAGGTGCAATGCCTAAATCTGTGAATTCCACTTTGTTAGTATTGATTCCTAAGAAGGAAAATCCATGTTCATTTGCTGATTTCAGACCTATAAGCTTATGTAATTTCTTATATAAGATCTTTACAAAGCTTCTGAATACTAGACTTTCTTCCCTTCTTCCTGCTTTAATTTCTGAAGAACAACATGGCTTTGTACAAGGTAGAGGCATTGGAANAAAAGTCAAATATAAAATGGGCTGTACAGGGGGAAAGGAATACCAGATTTTACCATTCTATTGCTAAAAGTAGAATGGTTAGAAATAAAGTCTCAAGAATCAAGAATAAAGAAGGGGTCTGGGTATGTGGGGATAAGCAAGTGGCTGAGGTAGCTGAGGAATTTTATGTTGATCTTTACAAGTCTGAAAGGCATATCATCAATGAACAAATTTTTGTTGATGTTATTCCTAAGCTCATCAGTCAAGAGGATAATGAGAGGCTCACAACTGAAGCCACTTTGGAGGAATTGAAAGATGTGGTCTTCTCAATGGCAGTTGAAAGTGCCCCTGGGCCTGATGGTATGTCTGGTATGTTTTTTCGATTTGCCTGGGATATTATTAAAATAGATGTGGGCAGAGCTGTTAACTTTTTGCTAGCAGGAGGTGCAATGCCTAAATCTGTGAATTCCACTTTGTTAGTATTGATTCCTAAGAAGGAAAATCCATGTTCATTTGCTGATTTCAGACCTATAAGCTTATGTAATTTCTTATATAAGATCTTTACAAAGCTTCTGAATACTAGACTTTCTTCCCTTCTTCCTGCTTTAATTTCTGAAGAACAACATGGCTTTGTACAAGGCAGAGGTATTGGAGATTGTGTGGCCTTGGGACAGTTGCTTGTTGGAGAATTAGACAGAAAGGTGGATGGTGGGAATATGGTTATGAAATTGGATATGATGAAAGCATATGACAGGATGGAATGGGATTTTTTGTTGAGGGTACTGGCTGGCTTTGGCTTTTCTGATTTGTTTAATCAAATTATTTTGAATTGTTTGAGTAGCCAATTCTTTACCATTTGCTTAAATGGCCAAAGATTTGGTTATTTTGCTAATTCAAGGGGGTTAAGACAGGGAGATCCTCTCTCCCCTTCCTTATTCATCCTGGCTGAGGAAGTGCTGAGTAGAGGGCTAAGAAGAATTTATCACCAGAATTTGGTGAAACATTTCCATATTGGGAGAGGAACAACAATTGTTAGCCATTTGTTATTTGCTGATGATACTCTGATTTTTCTAAGAGGTAATAAATCCTCTGTGGTGAATGTCNTATCACCAGAATTTGGTGAAACATTTCCATATTGGGAGAGGAACAACAATTGTTAGCCATTTGCTATTTGCTGATGACACTCTGATTTTTCTAAGAGGTAATAAATCCTCTGTAGTGAATGTTTTGCAATTTATTGAGTTGTATGAATCATGCTCTGGACAGAAGGTTAACAAAATGAAAAGTGCTGTCTATTGCTCCAAGCTGATCTCTTTAGCTAGAAGAAATAGGCTAGCTGCTGTGATGGGGATTCCTTTGAAGAATTGTCCTTTTACCTATTTGGGATGTCCTCTTATCAGAGGTAGAGTTAAGAAATGTTACTTTGAAGAGGTGGTGAACAGCTTTAGAAGAAGACTTGAGGGTTGGTATGCCAGACTTCTCTCTGGAATGGGAAGAGTGGTATTGGTACAGTCAGTACTCAGCTCAATTCCCATTCATATTTTGGCTTGTTTGAATATTCCAAAAGGTATTTTAAGTAAGCTGAACTCTCTTATTGCTGATTTTATTTGGTCTAATCAAATTGGATCCAGGAGGAGACATTGGGTGTCACTTAATGATATTTCTAAGCCCAGAATAGAAGGTGGCTTGGGGATTAGAAGTTTTGATGAAGTCCAAATGGCATTCAGAATTAAACAAGTATGGGGCATTCTAAAGGGTTCTTCTTTGTGGGCCAAAGTCTTTCAAGAGAAGTTTTTTCAAGGAAAGCATATGCTAAGATGTAGCAGTAGTGGTGCAGGTTTATCATTTAATGTCTTGAAGCCTTGGTTCAATTTCACAGTACAGAACTCCTTCAAAATTGTTAGAAATGGTCATAACACTGATTTTTGGTGTGATTCTTGGATGGAAACTGGCCCCTTGATTCTTAGAATGGAGAATATTCCATTAATATTTCCCAAGATACATGAATTATGGAATGGGATAACATGGCAGCTTAATGAGGTTGCTGAATGGCTTAATCCTCAGTTATGCTCTGAAATTGAAGGGGTGGCTTTTGTGAGATCTGAGGAATCTGATAATCTTGTTTGGAAGCATACTACTTCAGGTGAATTTTCTGTAAAATCTGCTTGGAAGCAGATTAGGAAAGTGGGGAACCAAAATGCTGTTGCTAAAGGCATATGGAAACAGAAAATTTTTCCTAGTGCTCAACTTTGCACTTGGAAAATTTTCAGAAAAGCTTTGACCTCTGATGATAGAATTCAAGATGTGGGAGTGGCAATGGCTAGTAAATGTGTCATGTGTGGTGTGGCTGGGGAAAGTGCAGCTCATGTTTTTATTGATTGCTCTTTAGCTCAAGCTGTTTGGATTAAAATTGCTACAATTATGGATTTTGATGTTTTTCCAGGGGAGGCTCCTTTATGCAGATTCTTGAGATTGTTGAGAAGGTTTAAGGCTGCTTCTCTCAGTCACCATCTAATAAGAGGGGTAACTATGTTAATTTTTTGGGCTTTGTGGAAGGAGAGATGTAGAAGGAAATATGAGGGAGTATTTTTAAATGCCACTGCTATCTTCCATCAAATAGTGAGTTCTTTAAGATGGCAGGTTTTTCTTATCAGACCTAGATCAAATGATGATGGTAAGGGGAAGGATTTGTTGAGAGATTTGTGTATTAAAAGTCCTTTTTCCTTAATCACCAAGGTTAAATGGATTAAATGGGAACTTCCTCCTGTAAATGTGCTAAAGCTTAATGTTGATGGTGCTTCTAAGGGTAAGACTGGTTTGTCAGGTGGTGGGATTGTATTGAGAGATCATGAAGGCAAAGTAATTGTTGCTGCTTCCTGTTTTTATGGTATTGGTTCCAATATGCTAGCTGAATGTATGGCATTATTTGATGGTTTACTTCTGATTATGCAATATAGTTTGACAACAGTTCAGATTATGGTGGAGACTGATTCCTGTACTTTATTTCAAATGGTGAGAGGATTAGCTGCTGTTCCATGGAAGATGAAATATCTGTTAGAAAGGATTAAGTTGTTGTTTAATTTTCTGAATTTGCAAATCAAGCACATATATAGGGAAGCTAATGGCTTGGCTGACTTCTTAGCTTCCTTTGCTGTTAAATCAGAACAGTATACTGAATTTTCTGCAAACAATATTCTGCCATCTATGGGGAGGATTATAATGCAACAAGATTTATATGGATTTCCCTCTGCCAGATTAAAGAGATTGATATGTGATCAAAGAGAAGGTATTGGTTAAGGTTCTGTGTATACAGTAAGAAATGCCTAGAAGCTGTAAATTGCAGTAACTCTAGGAAAACATTCTAAAGGGATTCTATTTTGGTTCTTCTGCTGATTGGATCTGTGTTGACTCTAGCAATCCCCTGAGATGATTTATTAGAATCAAGAGCAGTTCTTCAGTTTCTGATGGCTGCTCCTTTTCCAATCTGCCTGGACTATCTTCTGGACTTCTTTTGTGAGCTTTGGAGTGTGGAGGATCAGGTTTTCTGATGACATCCTGTTCCCTTTTGCGTTTCATCCTGAAATGCTTAAGGATTCTGTTTCAGTGCAGTTTTATAGGTGATTTCTGATGCTTGGTCTACTCTGCATCTGGCCATTTCAGAAAACGGATTAGTGCATGTCTGAGAGATGTATCTGGACTAGCTGTGAAGGGTCTTGATAGCCTTATCTGATTGCTTGGAATTCTGAACATTGCTGCAGACTATTTTAGGGGATTATCATTTTGGACAGACTATTGGGCTTCCCTGTTTCTCCCTGGACTACATTTGCTGCGGTGGTGTTAAGACATCTACTCCGGATTGTTTCAGCTGGATGGAAAGAAGACATTACAAAGGGATTAATTTTTGAATTACCATTTTACCCTTGTATTGTTTTAGCTTCTATATGTTCATAAGTCACTGTTTTTTAGCTTAAAATAGTGACTTATTTGCTTCTT